AAAAAAAAAAAAAAAAACGGTGCAGGACGCCGCGCGACGGTACGCTCCTCTGTCCCGCAACACCAATAAGAAGGCAGTGAGTGTTGAACGATTTTGTTTGAGACGACAAAGCAATCAGCTGTTCAACAAAACTGCCACCACAGTGGGAGCAAAAGTCGGCTTTGAGCGGTTGATCTTCTCTACAGCTGCTGTTGTCTGGCTTTTGTGACAGCGTAATAACGCAAGCAGACAGAAAGCAGATTTCCTGTATTCTAAAATCCTTCCCTTTTTTTAACCAACTCTAGCTTTCGGGAAATTTGTCCTGCGCCTCTAATTTAGACCTCATTTGTCGGCTTCGTCAGATGAGCGGCATCTCTTAGTTTTTATTCACATCTTCTAATTCCGAATATTACTCCTTAGCTGTATTACTCTTGCCACCGTTAAGAAAATCTTTTTGGATTTTTCTACAAATACTTTGCTAAAAAATAATCACTACCTTAAGAGAGTATTAAAAATTTAGTCTTTTAATCTAATTGGGAAGTTGACTGATATCTTCTTTCTGTCTCTTTTCGAGAATGGCAAGTTTTGAACAACGAAAAGAGAGAACGAGTAAATATCAGTTAATTTCCTAATTTTTTTCGAAACTGGTAAGTTTTGAACCGCTGACGAATGGCTTTGCTAGATTGGGCAAGCGTCGTCTTCTGCGATTATTTTAGCTGCGGCAGCAGCGGTCACTTTGGTTCCCATTAGTGTATAACTGTCCTTTTTAAATTTCTTATTGACCGTAGAAGCTTAAAAATTGATAGTTCTTTTGTACCTTACCTAACACACTTAGAGTTTTATTTCGGTACAGCTCTTAGCTAGAATAAAATACCTGTTTTATACAAAAATATAAACCGGAACAAAAACGAAATTAAGATTCTTTGGAATGAGAGCAGTAAGGCTTAAACGAGGTAAATATTTTTTACTTTTAATATGTAACCTGAAATAAATTATTATTTCATTCAATTTCTAAAGGAAATTAGAGCTGATGCAACTGTCAACAATTCTGAAAAAGCAAAGGGTGTTAAGCTGCACATAAAGGCTCCTTGGAATTCTCCTCTGAAAAAAACCTGATGCATTTCCAAATGAAGGCAGCAAAAATTATTAAAGAAACATCTCTTTTACAAAGTTTTCAAGAACATTTCTCTTCATAATAAAATCCCGTATTGAGACAAATCGTCTGTCCGTGTTTGTAAAGACGATTACTCTTAAGATACAAAGTACCTGTCTCAATAGTCTTGAAAGTCAAACGCAACTCAGAAAAACCTGCTTAGTGGTACGGTTACGAATCTAAATGAGATATAAATCTTAACCTTACACAGTTGACGAATATTTTACACAAGAAGGTGGGTGAAGAACAGAAAAGCGCTGCGATCAAACAGACCTCACTAAAATGTGTTTTTCCAAACTTTTGGGCGAAACTGTGCTTTGATGGCAGCGCTCTTATCTTCCTCTCAATTCTGTTTTTGCCAGTAACACTATGTTATTCATTCTGAGCAAAAAGATTGGAACCGATTGAAGTGAAAACTTAATTTTAACCGATATAGAAATTAACAACAGCGAACAAATTTAACATCAAAAAATTGATGTGAGGTGTAAGTACAAAAAAAATAATAATCCTAGCGATTAATAAGTGCAGTGCGCGGGATACAACTTATAAGATAAAAAGTTCCACGACGATTACGACCGAAAAAAGAAAACGACACATAAGCGCTATTTTAGCGATTAAGTGGGTACACCTCAGTCAAATCCATTTGTAATATAAGTATTTGTATTTTGATTGGGACGCCACACTTTGTATTGAGGAACTTTTCAGTAATCTATGGGCACAGACAATTTGACGAAGTCCCCTTCTTAACTCTGATCGATGTCAAATGCAGTTCCCTATGCTACGGCTCTGCGC